TTTGCTCTTCCTTTGCAGTTCCTGACGAAGAACCCGAGCCGGCGCCTGGGCTGTGTGTCAGCGGAGGGTGGAGAAGGGGCCATCCTCACTCACCCCTTCTTCAGGGAGATTGACTGGGAGCGCCTCAACCGGCGGGAGCTGGAGCCCCCCTTCAAACCCCGAATTGTACGTAAGCCTTCTGCGCCATTCTGCACTCGTCCTTCCAGAACTCACTATTGTCCAGTTCTCTCAGCTGCCCCTGTGTGCTTCCACAGTAGGGTTAGTGCACTGTATAGGAGGCTGAGTATATGGAGGAGGCAGGAGTCAGATTAGCTGCTTTAACACTGGGACCTGGACTGAAAATGTCCTCCTCCTGACAAATCATACTTTACAATCACTAATGCTTTGTATCCCCTTTCTTCTAGATGCTTTCTGCTTGTGTGACAGAATCATAGTGGGTTGTTTTATTGCTTCAAGTGTTTGCTGTGTTTGATAGAAGTGTTCGAGAGCTGGTGTCCACCTGGGGTCATGCTAATATGTGGAGCGGTGCCTCTGAACACCTTCCCAGGTGGCCTCAACCTGACCCCTGACCCCAGGCCGCTCACCCCCTCCCCTTGTGTCGCGCAGAAGTCCTCGGAGGACGTCAACAACTTCGACCCGGACTTCACCAGGGAGGAGCCCACGCTCACCCCCATCGAGGACCCCATGATCCCCTCTGTCAACCAGGACGAGTTCAAGCACTTCTCCTTCACCTCTCCAGAGCTGCTGGATGTCTGAAGGACTGGCACGCAGCTCTGGCCTGAGCCTTCCAGCAGCCTCGGAGCTGGACAGGAGAGCACGTCTTTCTCTTTCTCTCTCCTCTTCTCTCTGTCGGCGGAGTGAGGCTGTCTCAGTGACTTTAAGGCCCCGGGCGTTTTTCGCGGCAGGTTTCTCTGGCCTTTCTGAAGCAGTCCTCTGCCTGCGCGCAGTGGAGGAACTCTCCAGCAGTGTTTTCTTTGCGGTGCTGGCCCGGGGAGAACTGGGGAGGAACGCACTGTTGTGCTGTCCTCTTGGACACAGAACTAGAGGACGCAGAACCACCCCGTTGCAGGAGGAACAAGATCACGTCAGCCTTCTTATATTTCGTTTTTAGCTTTTACTCTGTTCACAGATGTGAACGGAAATGCACAGGGGTTTTGATGAGCAAAGACTTGAAAGTATCTGTTTCCTAGACGGGATTCGTTTTTGCATTTTTAAGAAAGCGTGCCGAAGCTGTCTGTAAATTCTCCTTGGGAGTAAATGCATTTACCTGGGGTCTAATGTGAACTCAGGAGCCTCAGTCTTAACTTGAAAGTTTTCTTTTCAAGTGTTTTGTACACCACAGTTACACTTTAGTATTTTTATTTTCATTATTATTTCTATATGCAATATATTGAATAACAGGATTATAATCTCAATAGAATAAGAGGTCCAAATTTCATAGAATGCAGTTGTAATATAAGCCTGGGCCAGGAGTGCTCAGTGTACAGTTATCTGTATATCTCAGGTGCCTCCTGGCTCATTGTGTGATAGTGTACAGGAGCAGCCTATTCTGTGTGGGAGTGAGGAGAGCACTTTCTTTGTTATTAAGCAGAGAAATGAAAGAGGTAGAAAATAAGCTTCCAGTGTTTTACATTAGTTTGCTGTTCACATTTAACAAGATCTTTAAGGGCACCCTCTGAATAACTTTCAAACCTAAGACTACGCCTCAAGCAACAACTGTATTTTTTTAAACCCGTTGCAACCTGAAACATTTGCATTTCTCAAACTTTCCATTTTCACTTTGCTAAGCCGGTGTCTTCTGCCGCTAGCTTCCCCTATGTTTGTCCTGAACAGAATGGAATGCTGTCGTTTTACGAGTCAGACGAACTTCGCTCAAACGTCACATTGTGATTCAAGGGCGTGTTCTTTAATGCAATTATAGAATGTTAATTCAGTCTGGTTTTATGCTGCTTGTACCACCTGTGCGTGCTTTGCACACTCAGTCTTTGCACTGACTGCTGCTTCCACCCTCCATCTTCCAGCAAGACACTCATTAAATCATGTCTTCGCTGTTGGGCACAGTGCACACAAGGCTTTTAATTATGAAAACAGACAAGTTTGAGCCTGAGTGTGCCTGACAAGTCTTCCTAGAACCAAGAATGCTCAGTATGCTCTGAAATCTTTGAAGAAGACTCACAGTCACTTTCCACAATGCCACGAATCTAGTATTGGTGTTAATTCCACAAACAGATCTGAGGCAAGAAATGTCTTTTTAATGTGTTACAATTTAATTAAGATGAAGGGTAACTGTATGTAAAAAAAAAAGAACTACAGAATGTCCAATGTATTCTTCATTGTTGGTCATAGTGCTTTGCTAAGAGCAACATAATTTTATTAAAAAATTCACATTGCATCACATTTTATTAGGGACCAGAAGGTGAAATTTCCAGCTCCCGTCAATTTTCTCAGGAAATATGTTTTTGTACGTGTAGTATTGTGCAATGGCTGATGTTCTCTTATTTTTAATAAAAAAGCACTGGACTGGTGGCATGTAAGGAATGTCTAAATATGCTTTTTTTATTCTATGACTTTTTTGTAGTGCCGTGTATAATTCAGTCCAGATAGAGCATTGCAAATATCAACAAAACCTCCTTCCAAAAGCCCAGACCGCTGGCATCCTGTTGACTGAGCAGGAAGTCTGAGCATGCTGCTCGAGCTCTGTGCATCAGAAGATAATCGTGAGCCTGTGTGGACAGGCTGTGTGTTTCTGGGGTTTCTGAAAAAAAGTGTTTTTTGAGCACTGACAGCTCTGTGCTGATAGCTTCTACAGCTCTGCTTCAAAACTTGACTTAAGTGCTGCAGTTACTGTTCCGTGAGCTTCTCCATTTTTGCAAAACCAAACCAAATAAATCAACTGTGAAACAAATCTTATCACCATTTGGCAATGTTTTTTTTTTTCTTCCTGTGCTGTCCAAGTGTCTGTGAATGAAGGTCCAATACTAGTCTTTACCTTCCTAAACTGTCAGCTGTCCACTGAGAGAAAATCTGTCGGTCTGTCTGTGTTTTGACAGCTGCACCCTTTTCTTTCCTGTGAGATACTGTAGTACGTGTTGCAGTGTGTTAGATAAATGTCTTCTGCGGGGTGTTTCCATAAGGCTGGATCCATCTGCTCCCTCATGTTCAACAAGTCCTTTGTGTATTGTCTTGCTTCTGTTTCATAGGTTTATTGATTTTGTTTTTTTATTCCCAATATCATTGAATTTTATATTGAATATTGAATTTTATTAATTGCACTTCTACCTTGTGTCTGTGGAAAAAAGTTGCTGTATAGTATTAACAATGTCAGGCCAGCTGTCAGAATGTTTTTACGACCGAGCATAAAGAGACAAAGAACATTTACTCTCTCAAGCAGGAGGGCTTAAGGGGTGTGAACATTCTGCTTAAACTGACATATCTCCCTTAACAGGCAGTCAGGAGCTAAACAAGACCAAACTCCTTCCTGAGAGCTGAGACAAAAGGGTGTGTTGGATGACATGAAGGCGTGTTTTATCAGAGAAATAACTTTTTTCTCCGCTTTCCCCTGATTCCTCTTCTCACCTGCTCTGTGTTTTTTACAGCTTTTTAACTTTTTTTCCCCTCTGCTGTGTTTAGATCCTCTTCTCCCTTTTTTCTGCGTCTTTCAGGATGGTGTGTTCGTTCACAATGGGTCACTCTGTTCCCTGGCAGTGTAAAGCTCTTCCTTGTGTTCATGCAGAAGCCCGTGGCATTGAGGTCCACAGATCATTATTTTCCTAGGATGGAGGCCAGACTAGCTGAATTAATATCTGACCAGGGTAGGAGACAGCACAGAGAAAATGACCCTGATGAAGTTCAGGCTCAGTGACTATAGCCTGGCCATACTCACTGGGCGACACCGGCTGACCCGGCTGACCACAAAGAGACAGAGAGGACAGGCTGTGCTCCCGCAGCAGGGAGAAGCAAAGACAGAGGTACACTTTCTTCTGCACTGTGCAAAACACTCTAGGATTAGACAAACATTCTTCCTCTGAATAACAACTCTAATCCCAGAATTCCCACACCTGCCAGAATCCAAACAGCTTCCGATCCTACTGGGGAAGGAAACTCAGTAGAGCTGCAGCCCAGTGTGTGCCCACCTGTCCCAGCCTAAGGAACAGAGAGTCATCCTGTTTCAGAATAATGTTTATATGTCACATATGTATATGCCCAATAATATGTTTGTACTGTAAATTTCCACGAATGTTGTGTTAATTGGAGCTGCTTTGGCAAAACTAAATAATCAGTCATGCCAATAAAGCCCTGTGAATGGGAATTTGTACAAACGCTGTGCACACGGCGAACTCTGCACCAGGTGCGCAATGAGCTAAGCAGTTGTCGAGTGGAGCAGGCCGGCTGCAGGCAGTTCTCCTCAGTGTGACGCCTCATCCTAACCACAAAAAGTCAGGGTGCTGTCAGACTGACGTAGGCGGGCTCTGCCGGAGTGGCGCAACTTCCTCGATTTCTCGGGCTGATGAGTCACAGCCACTGAGAGGTGAGTGGGGTTGTGCAGTGGTGTCTGACCTGCATCTTTCTACAGCTTGGAGCAAAGGACGACTGACAATAATAAGGAAAACAAATGTGAAGTTACAGTTTTGCCACTCTTTACATTTTTTTCTGATTGGGAAAACACAGGTGAGCGCTGACTGGCTCGAACTGTAGAAGTCCTCTCTCAGTGTGCAGGACAGAGGCTCACTGTCCATTAAGGAGAGTGACAGGGAGGAAGCGAGGACTGGACAGACCAACCCTTCCTCCCTGTTTCCTCCCCTCTCACTTATTGGCTAGTACTCCTTTCTGGGAGAAGCAGAACGTGTTAAAAAAAAGCCTTCCTGTGTCAGCTGCCCAACCTGAAGTAAAGTGTTTTTCAAAGGCTTCTTGCCAGTGACTTCTCTGAAAATTATTTGAGTCTGAGCTGATGCTGTTTGACTGTCATATTATTTTGAACGTTTGGTTGTTTTATTATGCAATGGATGGTACATAAAAGAACTTGCATCAAATAGCGAAGGAAAGTCATCTAAAGAGAAGCAAACACAGCTTGGAGTAGCAAAGTCAGTGCACCAGTCCGCTCACCACACACCTGCTATCAGTGGAGAGGGGAACAGGGTGATGAAGCCAGTTCAGAGACAAGGATTATTAGGAGGCCATGATTGTTAAAGACCAATGGGAAATTTGGCCAGGACGTTAGGGTGACACTACTCTTTTCGAGAAAGAACCTGGAGTTTTTAATGACCACAGAGAGTCAGGACCTTGGTTTTACATCTCATCCAAAGGATGGCACCTTTTTACAATATGGTGTCCCCATCACTATATTAGGACATTAGGACCCACACAGGGTGCAGGGTGAGCGCCCCCTAACTAACACCACTTCCAGCACCAACCTTTGTTTTTCCCAGGAGGACTTTCCCAGGAGGTACTGACCAGGCTCACACCTGTTGAGCTGTAGTGGGTTGCCAGTTGTGAGTTGCAGGGTGATATAGCTGCTGGCAAATCTGCAATACATTTAAACCTATTGTTTGAGTTGAATCTCTGATTTTAATGAAAGAGTAATAAAATCCTGCTGAACAGGCTGTTAAACTTAATCTCTTTAAACAGGCCCCGCCAGCTCAAGAAGCTTCTAAATGACAGACGTGTCTCCTGTGCATGACACTAGTCCTGGCTGTAGGATCTTTTCTTCATTTCGAAAAGGTTGAATGTCTGTTTTATTAAGACTCTGTGGAGTTTGCTGATGGAATTGCGTAAGGCAAACTCCTTTTTTGGTTGTTTTGAAAACATTTTAGCGAATACATCATCGAAAAACTCAGCTCCTCTTGAGCGGTTCTGAGGCACTCGCGTGCACACACACACGCACACTCATGCCCATTCACACTCGTGGACAGACTGGGATTTACAGTCAGTGGAGTCCAGGGCCGAGGTAGACTCGCTCTGTTTCAGTGCAGCATGTCATCAGACAGCTGGAATTCAGCAGAATGACTCGAAACATAGAAGATTCCGACCGCAAGCCGCTGGCCAGCTAAGGAGCCAGTGTTGGAAACACTATTCAGACAGCTGGCTCGGCCTCGGATTTTGGCTGTATACAGTATGTATAGCTCTACCCAGCATTTCTCAAAGCACGCTTTGTGATTACACATCCCGCAGCTTGTCAGAGGACTTGGGACCCACCTGGGATGAGCCGGTAGTGGGGAAGAGCTAATGAAGAGCCCGGCACGGATCCCCACCTCAGCATAACTTCCACACAGTTTAGCAAGAAAGCACTATTTTTCACATCCCAGCCATTGGAGTTGCTGCCATTTTTTTCCATTGCAAAACGATGTACCAAATTCAAACATGCAGTTTTGTGATGAATTGTTCCAAACCTGGTCTTCACACATTTTCACCTCATTAACAGTGGTTGTCCTGGAAGGCACTTCCTGATCCCCACCTAGGGCTGCTTAATGGCATCATTGACATGCAGCTACGGACTCTTCATCACTTCCATGACCCATTGTCTATAGGCGCCCCACAGACTTCTAAAGCTAGATAGTCATTCTCATGCAAATGACTTTGTTGATGGATGTTTAGGGCTGGCTATGCAGCCCCTATCAGGAATGCAGGGTTTACAATATGCCTGGGCTGTCAGGGGAAGCTGTAGTCAAGTCTGTGCCCCGGTGCTCTGTAGAGACTGACCTCCGTTCTAGCTGGGAAGGTCAGCTTACTTCCAGTCTCTGCCAGGCAGTTGTAGCCAAGGGAAATCCTCAAAGACAAAGGGGGCAAGCTCCTGGTGTAATTCTATGCGGATGTAGTGCTTTTCTTCAGCAGAATCCTTTGCCTGTTTCTTAAAATGGGAACAATTAACACAGTAAGATATTGAGCTGTGCAGTGCATCAGGGAAGCTGGCATTAAAGTCTTCATTCTTCTATCCATCCTGTTATTGTTACAGGGTTGCATGCTTCCACAGGCACAGGGACGGATGCCAAATTGTTTTGGCCTTGTTTGAATCATGTAGATAAGGTTAATGAAGAGGCAGACTCACAGCAGAGCTCGGTGACAGCATTTCCCTAATGACCCTCTGTGGAAATCATCTTTAGAACCATCTCCCTTTGCCCATCTGCAAGGAGACAAATTGGACTCAAACCATTCTGAGCCAAAAGTCCCCTGCCTAGCTATGAGAAGCCACCTTGACAGTCTATGACAACAGTTCAGGTGGGTAGCTGCATCAGCATGCGTAGGCTGCAAAGGAACAAGTAATAGGTTTATTCCATGCTGAAAAGAGAAGAAAGAAAACACAACGTTTCAGCCGTGGAGCCTTCTTCAGATGTGACTGGTGTGAGCCTGGTGGTGTGGTGTGACTCACACCCGAAGAAGCTCCACGGCCAAAACGCTGGGTTTTCTTTCTTCTCTTGTCAGCATGGAATAAACCTATTACTTGTTCCTTTGCAGTCTATGACAACAGCCAATTTAGTAAAATCACTGCTAAGCACAGTGCACACAAGCAGGAAGGTGATTCCTAATTAGCGGCAGATCAAAAAGGTGTGATAGAAATAATTTTTGCTCAAGGCACACAGAAGTAGAGGCTTAATGAAACCGAGGAGAGGGTGTTAAAACCAAAAAAAAAGATGAAGAGAAAGGGAGTTCACAGGAAGAGAAATCTGGAGCTTTTGCTTGATCTTGATGTTAAGACAACGCAGTGAGGCAAGGTGCTATTGTCTCAGAAACGAGAAGAACCATGTGCCTTCACCTGACAAGCAACATTATGACACGACAGGACGGTACAGTGTTCGTCCGGCCCGCTCACAGACAACAGGAAAAGCCTGTCCTCCTCTCTCCACCTCTCACTCATTTCCTGACCATCACCAATATTTTTAGTTGATTTCAAGGGATGCAAATTTCACCCAGCTTGC